AAAGTGGGCAAAAGATTTGAATACACACTTTACCAAGATATACAAGTGGCAAAAAAACACATGAAAAGATGATCAAAATCACTAATCATTACAAAAACACAAATTAAAACCAAATGACAACACTACACAAATATAATAACGACTAACGTTAAAATTCTAAGAACACTAGTTCTTGAAGGATGGAGAATAGCTGGTGGGAACGGAAAAAAAGGTACACTCTGGGAAACAGTATAAAAGTTTCTAATAGGCCGGGTGTGGTGGCTTATGCCTATAAACCTAGCACTCTGGGAGGCTGAGGCGGGAGGATCACTCAAGGTCAGTAGTTTGAAACCAGCTTGAGCAAGAGCAAGATCCCGTCCCTATTAAAAATAGAAACAAATTAATTGGCCAACTAAAAATATATAGAAAAACTTAGCCAGGAATGGTGGCACATGCCTGTAGTCCCAGCTACTCGGGAGGCTGAGGCAGAAGGATTACTTGAGCCCAGGAGTTTGAGGTTGCTATGAGCTAGACTGATGCCATGGCACTCTAGCCCAGGCAACAGAGTGAGACTCTGCCTTAAAAAAATAAAAATAAAAGTTTTTAATTAAAACCATACACACCCCATAATACCCAGCAAGTCCATGCTTACATATTTACCCAAGAAAAATGACAGCATTATGTCTACAAAAAGACCTGTACGTTATTTATGGTAGCTTTATATTATTAAGCACCCAAAAGTAGAAACAACCCAATGTCCGTTAACCAGGTAAATGAATAAACAATTGTGGTAAATCCACGAGATTGAATACTATTCAATAAAAAGGAATTATTATTACATGCAACAACATGAATTGAGTTTCAAAAGCCTTATTCTAAGCTAAAGAAGGCAGATATGAAAGGCTAATACTATATGCTTCTACTGATACGACATTCTGTAAAAGGCAAAACTATAGGGACAAATCAGAACAGAGGCTAAAGAAAGAAGGAAGGAAATGACTATAAAAGGGGGTGAGAGGCACGGTGGCTCACGCCCATAATCCTAGCACTCTGGGAGGCCGATGCAGGCAGATTGCTGGAGGCCCAGAGTTTGAAACCAGCCTGAGCAAGAGCGCGATCCCGTCTCTACTATAAGTAAAAAGAAATTAATTGGTCAACTAATATATATAGAAAAAAATTAGCCGGGAATGCCTGTAGTCCCAGCTATTCAGGAGGCTGAGGCAGGAGGATTGCTCGAGGTCAGGACTTTGAAACCAGCCTGAGCAAGAGCGAGACCCGTCTCTACTATAAATAGAAAGAAATTATTTGGCCAACTAACATATATATAGAAAAAATTAGTAGGGCATGGTGGCACATGCCTGTAGTCCCAGCTACTCGGGAGGCTGAGGCAGCAGGATTGCCTGAGCCCAGAAGTTCGAGGTTGCTGTGAGCTAGGTGGACACTACAGCACTCACTCTAGCTTGGGCAACAAATCGAGACTTTGTCTCAAAAAAAAAAAAAAAACAAAAAAAAAAGGGGGGTAAGAAAACTTCAGAGATGACAGTAAGGTCTCTTATCTTGATTGTCCTGGTGGCTTTGTGACAGTATATCTGTCCAAAGTCATACAACTGCACCCAAAAATGTTTTTTACTGTTCATTCAATTTTTAAAATCCAGCCAACACAACTATGTTTCATTATGTCAATCATTTCACAAACATTTATGGAGAAATCTACTGTACACCAAATATTTTGTAAGAGAAACAGTACCCTGTAATCAGAAATAGTCAACAGTTCAGAGAAAGACACCATCTTTTACCTATCAGATCAACAAAAATGAAAGTAACTGATAATATCCAGTATTGTCAAAGATGTGGGGGAAAATGGCCTCTTCCACATATACTATTGGCAGAAATATAAATTGTTACAACCCTTTAGAGACTGCAATTTAGCAGTTTTATTCAAATTAATTATAACACTAAGCATTCATTAAACACAGGAAAGAACTATAGGAACTTACAGGAAAGAACTATAAATGTAGACAGAGCACGTTCACAAAAGGTAACTAACAATTATAAATTGTGGAACAATGTGTTACAAATCTCATCTTTTGAAAAAAGGCATGATACTGAAAATATATGAGTTATAGGTCTAGGGAAAAAGGCTACATAAATTCTTACTATATTGTCTGAATGCTGCAAAGTGCATATATTAACTCTGGAATTTTTTAAATCATATTTTTCAATTTTCATTCAGTTTCTGACAATCATCTAACAGATTCATGTTACCAGTTAGAAAATATACCTCTACAATAAAGATCAAAGTATAAAAATTCACTTACCACTACTAGCAAAACTAATAAGTAATGGCTGCATTATTATTATGTCTACATTAGTGACAATACCTCCCACTAAATATTATTTAATGGTTAAAAAGTCTGAGTGCTTAAATATTACCAACTGATTAAAGACAGAATTGAGGAGATGGAGGAACAGACTAGTAAAAAAAAAAAAATGCTGGAATTAAAAATGCGTCTATCAGGCCGGGCGCTGTGGCTCACGCCTGTAATCCTAGCTCTTGGGAGGCCGAGGCGGGCGGATTGCTCAAGGTCAGGAGTTCAAAACCAGCCTGAGCAAGAGCGAGACCCCGTCTCTACTATAAATGGAAAGAAATTGGTTGGCCAACTGATATATATATAAAAAATTAGCCGGGCATGGTGGCGCATGCCTGTAGTCCCAGCTACTCGGGAGGCTGAGGCAGAAGGATCACTCAAGCCCAGGAGTTTGAGGTTGCTGTGAGCTAGGCTGACGCCACGGCACTCACTCTAGCCTGGACAACAAAGCGAGACTCTGTCTCAAAAAAAAAAAAAAAAAAAAAAAAAGCGTCTATCAGTTACATAGATAAAGAGTAATGAAGAAAAACTTGGGGCAGGGCTTGGTGGCTCATGCTTGTAACCCCAACAGTTTGGGAGGATGAGGAGGGAGGACTGCTTGAGACCAGGAGTTCAATACCAGGCTGGGCAACATAGCAAGACCCCACCTCTACAAAAAAATACTAAAAAGGAAAAAAAAAATAGCCAAACATGGTTGTGTGCACCTATAGTCCTAGCTACTAGGGAGGCTGAGGCAAGAGAATCACCTTAGTCCAGGAATTCAAGGTTACAGTGCGCTATGATCTGTGATCATGGCACTCCAGCCTGGGCAACAGAGTGAGACCCCAACTGTAAGGGGAAAAAAAAAGAAGAAAGGAAAGAGAGAAAAACGTAGTCCTGGCCAGGTGCGGTGGCTCACACCTGGTGGCTCACACCTGTAATCGTAGCACTCTGGGAGGCCAAAGTGGGAAGATCCCTCAAGGTCAGGAGTTCAAAACCAGCCTGAGCAAGAGCGAGACCCTGTCTCTACTAAAAATAGAAAGAAATTAATTGGACAACTAAAAATATATATAGAAAAAATTAGCCGGGCATGGTGGCGCATGCCTGTCGTCCCAGCTACTCGGGAGGCTGAGGCAGAAGGATTGCTTGAGCCCAGGAGTTTGAGAATGCAGTGAGCTAGGCTGACTCCATGGCACTCACTCTAGCCTAGGCAACAAAGTGAGAACTCTGTCTTAAAAAAAAAAAGAAAGAAAGAAAAACTTAGTCCTAAGAAGCACTCTCCTCCAACTTTAATGTTTCCAAGAGGTAAACTGTGAGACATCAGTTTGATGGTTCATATGCAGTCACTAAAATATTGTCAAAGACTATAAAAGAACAAAACATGGAAAAATAGTATACAATTCACAATTATATAATTATAATTTCAATAATGTAAAGGCAATGTATGCATTAGGACAAGAACAGAATGAGATTAATTTTTTCTGTCACCCAGGCTGGAGTGCAGTGGCACAATCATAGCTCACTATAATCTCAAACTCCTGGGCTCAAGCGATCCTCCTGCCCCAGCCTCCCAAATAGCTAGGACTACACACAGGTGTGAGACACTGTGCCCGACTAATTTTTTTCTTCTGCAGAGACAGAGTCTCACTGTGTTGCTCAGGCTGGTCTCAAATTCCTGGCCTCTATGCTCCTACCTGGTTCTCCCAAAGTGCTAGGATTACAGGCATGAACCATAGTGCCCAGCTGAAATTAATTTTTAAATCCACTACAGATAGCAAAATAATCAGAGCAGATTACAAGAGAGAAGAAAAGGTAATCCAAGCAAAATAATTTTGTATTCCGTCATTCTCAGGAATCCCTGAAATGGCATCTGTTCATCTTCTTATTAAAGAGAATTCTCCATTAGCCATACAGTGATAAAATGGCTAAATCTACAGAAAAATCAGAAAATCTAATTTTAACTTAATATCAAACATCTGGCCATCAATACTACATAGAAGACCAATATGCAAAATCAAAAATTCACTCATTTTTGGGAGGCTGAGGCAGAAGGATCGCTTGACCCCAGGAGTTTGAGGTTGCTGTAAGCTAGGCTGATACCATGGCACTCTAGCCCAGGCAACACACTGAGATTGTCTCACAAACAAATAAAAACAAAAATTCACTCACTGCAAATTACTGGCATGAAATTTCATGTCAATTTGGTGTCTATTTCAATTTTTGGGGGAAATGGCCAAAATGGAGAATGCCAAGAAGAAACTATGTCATCTTATTTTTAAAAAGTCAGGAAACCAAAGCAAAATTACATCTAGAAATAGAAAAGAATCAAACATCCCTGAGAAGTTACACATACTGTATCTTACTCCATACAAAAAGAATAAGATTTCTAGTAACAGAACACAGTCCTCTCTGTACCAGACACTGTTACCATGGGATACGCCTGTGATGATACACAGCTTATATCCACTGTAGGTTACTTAACCCTCTTTCTCCCCTCTGGAGCTTCTCACTCATAGCTGGGCTCACATTGGTTAGGCCCAGGCAGATTTTCATTGAGTCATAGACTATACTCTCTTTCAACTGCTATCTCCGTATTATTATAATACTTGAACTTCTCCAAATTCTAGATGGTCCTTGTTTAAAGTGACTTTAGCAATCAAAGCAGCACTATACCTTTTTAGAGCAGTGCAGCAGACCCATACGATGAAAGCTTCACAGACAAGATCTAAGAATCACAGTGGTAGGTAAATAACAAAAGGAAGTTATGGATTAAGCCTCTTCTTTTCTCAGGCTGCAAAGGTAAGGAGGCAAGTTTTGACACTGAGAAACTATTAGAAGTGAGGAAGGATTAAGAAACAGGGACTGCTATCCCACAAACATAAAAAACATGTACTTATATCATGCTATAAAGTTTAACAAGTAACCTGTATGTTCCTTGAAATAGATAGGCTTTAGCTTCACTTACAGAAAAGGAAACTGATATTTAATGAGAGCCTAAGGAAAGGATTTCAAGGTCCCTCAGAGTTGTAAGAGGATCTGAAATCAGGTTTTCTGCCTCCAGTGATGTTTTCATTGGCCAAGAACAACAGCTTTGGAAGAGCAGCCAATGAATCAAGAATATACAAAATGAGTTTTAAAAATCAACTTTATTTGAAACTGTTAGGAATTGTAAAAAGCAAAGGAATATAACCATTATGCCTATGGTATCAAAATAGGGCAAAAATACCTAAAAATTAGAAGATAAAAATAAGCTGAAACAGCAGTCCAGAAGTTGATTCTACTGCTTCTGAAGCCAGGCCAGGGGAGAAAAACCAATTTATTCTATCAAGTATTAAACAAGTATTAAACCAGTGGAGAGTAACTAGGTTATCTTTGCCAATTAAATTCTACTGAATATAAGTTCAGAAGTAACCACCCTTAAATTTGTGCCTCTCAGAAGCAGCAATGACGCTGGTAATCCTAGCTCTGTAGGAGGCCCAAGTGGGCGGATTGCTCGAGGTCCGGAGTTGGAAACCAGCCTGAGCAAGAGCGAGACCTGGTCTCTACTATAAATAGAAAAAAATTAATTGGCCAACTAATATATGTAGAAAAAAAAATTAGCCGGGCATGGTGGCACATGCCTGTAGTCCCAGCTACTTGGGAGGCTGAGGCAGCAGGATTGCTTGAGTCCAGGAGATTGAGGTTGCTGTGAGCTAGGCTGACGCCATGGCATCACTCCAGTCTGGGCAACAAAGCGAGACTCTGTCTCAAAAAAAATAAATAAATAAAAATAGAAATAAAAAAACAAAAGCCGCACTGGAAAGGAGTCATTCACTGTCCTCATACCCACTCAACATAAAATAGGGGAGAAAAAAGTGTTCTTAAAGCAAGCTAGGAAAAAAATTTTCAATCCTGATAATGGGTAATAAGCAACAAAAATTCTACAAGATGAATAAGCTGCTAAGAACCTAAAAATACTATTAATATCATAATTTTTCCGTAACTGACATAAAAATTTTGATTTTTAATCTCTTAAAAATCAAACATGGATAAATATTTCCTGCTACCAACAATGCCAATACTTTCTTCAAACCAGGAGTTGCCTGCTGACAATTCAACTGCCAAGCTGCTAACAGAACACTTAGGTTAGCCAGTTAGACTGATTATAAAATTACCAAATGACTTGTTTTCTTTTTTACTTTCTACTTCCAATCCCAGTCCATCTCACAAGCATTCTGGTTCACTGTACTCTTCTTGATGCTTGTTCACCATTACTAATATTTTAACCCTGAATATTCAACAATCTGAACCACAACAGCTCTTACACAGCAAGCAATCCATTCGAGGTCCTTATTATCCACGATCCCTTGACAATTTTTCAGAATTATGATTTAATCTCTACAAGCCATATAACACAAGAACACATATGACTAATCCTAAAAATTTAAGAGAAAAATAAGGTAATATCGCTAAAGATACAATACATAATTCAATCATAAGAGGTTCAAACTCATCATACCTTCTTCAGTTTTTCAAGACCAGCAATCTTGGATATAAAAAACGACCACTGGATACTAACAGAGCCAAATGTTTACTTAGAAACTTTGTTCACATGCCTAAGGCTATATTAGCTGCCAAATATGGAGCTGGACAAGGAATTGCCATCATCTTACACTCTAGCACACAGGGCTCCCCTTAACTGCAGTTAATGGTTTTCTAGATCCAGGTACTTGCAATGCTAACGTTTGGAGGACTAGAACCAGGAATGGAGCATTGAACCTAAAAAAAAAAAAATCAATATATCAACCCAAGTTAACACCACAACAATCATGTAAGGAGGAAAGGGAAATGACTTTCCTAGTCCAGCTAGAGGTGCACGTGCTTTTCTTCTTAAAAAGGGCAAAGGCACTTGCCCAAAAAATCCGTTTAAAAAAAATAAGGTATACTTTGGAGGAAAAAAAAATGATCTATGAGGAAAATTGTAGACGCAAATCTACTTCGCCGTAAAGAGGCATAGGGCCATCTTAAGAAATCTGCTTTTAGAAACGCAGGGAAAATTCGATCAGATTAGACCAACAACCAACAGTCTAGGGAAGCTTTATGTTCCTCTCCGTCCCCCGACCCAAAAAAGTGGGGAAAAGAAACAAACCCCGTTCGCCAAAGCACTCAAACATCTTTACTCTTCCTGGCTCTATAAGGGATGGGCTGCACAAAACGGGAACGAAACAGGAGCACATTACAGCCCCGGGGTCCGAACACGCCCAGGACAGACCCTGGGCGAGGGGTGGGGGCGGCCAAAGACGCCGGAACACCAGGCACTGGATAAGCGGAGCGGCGGACGCCTTCGAACCCGGATTCCGTTTCCGTGCGCAGAAATGGTGCCCGGAGGCCGCTACTTTCGCATCTGCGTCGCTTCTGCCTCCGCCGACACGGCCTCTGTTCCCCTCCCCCACGGGCGGGGCGGCCACGGCCTCCTGGCTCCGAAGGAACCGGTATGAAGAACCGCGGTCGGAGACGAGGCCAGGGGGCCGCCCGCCCCGAACACACTCTCCCGAAAGCCCACTCCCCCACTTCCTGTGTGAGGCTTCCATCGGCGCGCCGCCAGGAGCTGCGGCGTCCCCTCACCTCGCCACCTCATCCCCAGCCAACCCAGCCCCACCTGTGCCCTCCGAGCCCTCCCTCTGCTAGACACTCGCCGGTCACCTCCCTCCCCAGGAGACCTCCCGTCCCTCACCTGGGGGGAAAGGCTCGGCTTCTCACACACACACGGCAGCGCAAGCAGCCGGCTAGAACAATGTCTCCGCCACAACACCGCGGACACCGGGGCTCGCGCCCAGGACGGTTGCCTCGAGCCACGGAGCGCGAAGGGAATGTCCCCTTCCGACCACCACACCGATGTCCCTTCCCGGCCCCCGTACACACCTCCAACCAACAGCGGCGGCGGCTACGTCGCGCGGAGGTCAGCAGGAGAGTCGCCGAGGGTGTCGGCTGCAGCGGATTCTTCTCGCTCGCCTCCCCCTCCCTCGATAAACCCAACGCCTCGAAAGCCGGAGAGCCACGAGCTCGTTATCCCTCACAACCACCGGGCGCCAGGCGCTGCGGCGAGCGACCAGGACCACGGACGTCCCGCCCCCTTTGCCGCCGCCCCCTCTTATTGTTTTACCCCTGCCGAAAGGGCCAGGGAACCCCCCAGCACGGCGTCAGCCAATCACGCATCTCCTTCGCGAGCCGGACCCAACCTCCTTGCGTCCCCTCTGCGGAGCACGCGCAGTGCGCCGCCGCGCTCACACACACCACACACACTCGGCGCCCGGAAAGCCGGGGAACCGGAACCGGCCTGAAGCCGGGACGAGAGTCCGCTGATTTGACGTCACAAGGAGGCTGCCTTTCTCTCGCCCGGAGGCTCCAGCCTCGCCGCCCTTCCAGATCGCGCGAGTGAGAGCCGCTTCGCTGCAGCGCGGTGTCTCGTACACTGATATTTCTGGTCCCTTCTGATTATTATCGTTAACAGGAAAGTAATTTAGTAATCTCTCTAAACCGGTGTCCGCAGGTTGCTGGTCTAGACTAGCATAAAATGCAGCCAGTGGTTTCAGCTGTGTGTGTACTAAACTCACCTGTATTGTTTATTAACTTACCATAGAAAATTGAGGTTTAAGCTCTGCTGAGGTCATATTCGCCCTAACGTTTCAAAGCAATATATATTACAGACCTGCTGGGTGCTAGGCCCTGGGTTTGTGAAGAATAGGAAGTGGATTCTACCGTGTGTTGGGGAGGGCCTATTTCTTTGTGTGCCTGTCAGGTTTTTAAGCATTTAGCATTTTTACATACTAAAGCTAAAAGGCTTGAAGTATCAGGATTACAATCCTGTCCTAGTTGTAGGCCCAAATCTGTCCCCCTTGGGCATAGCTGTAGAAGACACTGACTCTTTGACCTTGATTCATGGAAAAAGCCAAATCTTGTAGTCCAGGAAGCCAGTTTGCACCTTAGGTCTGGCAGTAGTTTCTGAGAATACCACCAAGAGAGCACAGGAATTTTGGGATGAAGGGTCCAAGAAATGTTGAAAGAAATGGAAGGGCCATTAGGAAAGGAAAGAGAACACATTTATTAATGAATTCTTAGGTATCAAACATGATGGATGCAGGCATATACATTTCATCAGTTTTCTTCACAATCCTATACAGGTATTTTTACACACGTGAAGATGAGTTCACAGAGGCAATGCCAACAGTTGGGCCTCCAAAGCCTTTGTCACATTTACCTTACACTGCTTAATCATTTTGTTATATGCAAAATATACGGGCAGATCATCACTTTTATAAAATGAACCTACAATGTTTTTCCTGAAAGCATCACAATACATTATGCATAGATTGTCCTTTAATAGTTATGTACCAGGCACACTTATAATTACTTTATGTAATCATTTAAGCCTCACAGTAACCCTATGAAGTTGTTGAGATTTTTCTGCTCATTTTATAGGTGAGGGAACAGGCTTAGAGAGCTCAAGTAACTTACCCAAGGACACACAGCTACTGTCCGCTAGAGCTGGGATTCAGACACAAGCAGCCAGCCTCCCACAGTCCATGCCTTTAACCCCAAACCATAAAATACTCCCACTGTACTAACTGCCACAATCTACTTATCTTCCCTACTATGGACTAACATTTCAAATGATTCCAGTTTGGGGCTTTTAGGTGCAGTGCTGTTATAAACATCCTTCACCGTGTGCCCTGGTTCATGTTGCAAAGTTTCTCTAGAGTAGTGGTTCTCAGACCTAAAAGTACATCAGAATCACCTGGAGGGCCTGTGAAAACAAATTGCTGGGCCCCACTCCCTGAGTTTCTGATTCAGCCGGTCTGTGTAGAGGCCTGAGAATTTGCATTTCTAACAAGTTCCTGCCTCTCTATAAACCACACTTACCATTTTTCTATTTGTAGTAAGTACCCCATACGGGGTAACATCTGAGACCATATACGGACTCATCATGCTTTCACCCACCAGGGTTACCATCCATTGATGACTTTTGTCTGAATCAGTTTTTGCCACAATGGCTGCCAAACTGTGATTTTTTTCCAATTCTCTCATTCTTCCTATGTTTGTTAACTAGAATTCTATCTATAAGGAAGACTTTTCCTTCTTTCTCATTTTTTCATTAATTTATTTATATAAACTCATAGGTTCCTATTTAATAGTCCATTGCTATCAATCTTAATTTTCTTGTTGAAATTGTCCCTGATTTGGCCAGTAGAAGCCCCATCAAGTTGGCTCTCTTGTTTTACGTATCTTATTTGCTACATAAAAATGAATTAACATATATTTTTAAAAAGTGACAAGGGCCTACCAGATGACAAGGCAGGGAGAAAATAAATTTGAGAACTACATAGGTGGCAAAAAATGTCATGATTAACTAGACATGGGAAGTAAAAGAGAAGTCTAGGATAGGCTACTTGGCTATTAATAGCTTGGACCTGGGTAACATAATAGCCATTGATAATATTCACTGAGAAAGTCAACACAGAACTTTGATAAATGTTCTTCCACATGTTTTCCTATCCATATTTTTATATAAAATAAATAAAAGATTGTACTAGCCACTTCATTCAATACTTATGCTCTAATGCCACTTTAGAAATCTACTCTGACCACTGACTCAAAAGCAACCCACTCTCTATCCTGTACCCTGCTCTATCTACATTCACAACACTTACCACTCCCTGCCATTATATATATATCACTTGGTGGGTGTTTTTTTAATTGTTGGCACCCCCAATAAAGTTCCATAAGGGCTCTGATTTTGTCTGTCTTGTTCAATGCTGTATCTCTGCTACAGTAGAGACAATAAAAAATAATTAGTGAATAAACAAATGTATATACTTGTGTTTTTTCAATAGTTTTTATTGTTTTGAGACAGGGTCTCACTCTGTTGCCCGAGAGAGTACAGTGACATCATAGCCCACTGCAACCTCAAACTCCTGGGCTCAAGCGATCCTCCTGTCTCAGCCTCCCGAGTAGCTACCATGGGCTACAATGCCCAGCTAATTTTTCTGTTTTTGTAAAGATAAGTCTCACTATGTTGCTTAGTCTGGTCTTGAACTCCTGGCCTCAAGTGATCCTCCCGCCTCAGCCTTGAAATGTGCTAAAATTACATACATGAGCCACTGAACCTGACTCAATAGTTTTTTGAATAATAGGTATGTATGTGTGTGTATATATATATATATATATATATATGAGAGAGAGATAAAGGGAAATGGGATCCAAATTAAACATTGTTTTCCATAACTTTTTTCCCTTAACAGTATAACTTGGACATCATATTATGTTAGAACATAGCTCTACTTAATTTTTCTCCAGTGGTTAGGGGATGACTTTCTAAGCTTAGAAGCAATAAAATAAATTAGAAAGAAAATTATAAGGATATAACCCAAATAAAGGCAAGCTATGTATTTGTACACTTTTTTGGTCAAAAATTTGAGTCACAGGGCTAATAAAACTTGATAAGAAATCAACATGAAAATCTAATTGATAATATGAAAATCTGATCTTCTACGTAAAGGGATGTTTTCTATAAATAAGAAATAGAAATGTATAGCAAAAATGGACACACTTAAACCTATAGGAAGAACTGTTAAATGGCAAACCATAAACAAAGTGGCAAATATTTTTAAATGAAAACATCCAGTGTGCAAAAGAAGCCCCTTTGTACATTTCTGTTGGAAGTTAACATTAATTCATCCCTCTAAAAAAGCAGCTCCTCAGGAGGGGAAGGCAGGAAGATGGCTTGAGCCCAGGAGTTTGAGGCTGCAGTGAGCTATGATCGATCACACCACTGCACTCCGGCCTGGCAGCCTGGTGATAGAATGAGACCCTATGTCAAAAAATAAACAAATACATACATAAGCAAGCAAGCAGCTTGGCAATATATATCAAAAGCTTTAAAATGTTTGTACTTTTTGGGCCAGTAATTTCACTTCTGGGTATTTATCTCCCTTAGGATATGTATTAAGATTATCAGCATGTTATTGAAACATTTATTATAATTTTAAAACTTGAGGCATCTCAAATAATAGTGAATGGTTACCATGACATATATGCTTGACACATCCACATCTATAGATGTAATTTTAAGAATATATTTTTATGTTACATATTTATGTTTCAATATTAAGTCAAATGTGGTTTTGATACAATCTTAAGTAGAAAATATGGTACTCAATTTTCTATTAAGTAGGAACACATTTTTTGTTGGCTTTATGTTTTTCTGTACCTACTTTTCCATGGCTGGTTACATGTTACTTTCAAATAAATTTATAAAACAAGGCATTGCCTTAGTGCCTGAGGGAAAATAAGGTTATAATTTCTCATTCTCTCAACTGTCTCTCTTCTATCTCATAACATATAAATAAACATTATCATCGCCTGACTACACATACCAAATCAAACCCTCCAAAGATATAAGCGGTAAAA